AACATTAAAAAAATTAAAAAAAAAAAAAAAGGCAACTGATGGAATGGGAAAAGATATTTGCAAATGACACATCAGATAAATGGTTAGTGTCCAAAATCTGTAAAGAACTTATCAAATTCAACACCCAAAAAACAAATAATCCAGTGAAGAAATGGGCAAACGACTTGAGTAGACACATCCAAAGAAGACATCCAAATGGCCAACAGATAATGAAAAAATGCTCAACATCCCTCCTCATCAGGGAAGTACAAATCAAAACCACAGTGAGATACCCCCTCACACCTGTCAGAATGGCTGACATTAACAACTCAGGCAACAACAGATGCAGGCGAGGATGCGGAGAAAAAGGCTCTCTTTGGCACGGCTGGTGGAAATGCACACTGGGGCAGCCACTCTGGAAAACAGTATGGAGGTTCCTCAAAAACTTAAAAACAGAACCACCCTATGACCCAGCAATTGCACTATTAGGTATTTATCCAAGGATACAGTTATGCTGTTTAGAAGGGGCACATGCACCCCAATGTTTACAGCAACACTATCAACAATAGCCAAAGTATGGAAAGAGCCCATATGTCCATTGATGGATGAACAGATAAAGGAGGTGTGGTATATATACACAATGGAGTATTTCTTGGCAATCGAAAAGAATGAAATCTTGCCATTTGCAACTATGTGGATGGAACTAGAAGGTATTATGCTAAGCGAAATTAGTCAAAGAAAGACAAATATCATATGACTTCACTCATAGGAGAACTTTAAGATAAAAACACATGAACCTAAGGGAAGGAAAGCAAAAATAATATAAAAACAGGGAGGGAGACAAAACATAAGAGACTCTTAAATATGGACGACAGAGGGTTACTGCAGGGGGTGTGGCAGGGTGGGCTAAATGGGTGAGGGGCATTAAGGAATCTACTCCTGAAATCACTGTTGTACCATATGCTAACTAACTTGGATGTAAATTTAAAAATGAATAAATTATATTAAAAAAACAAGCAAACTGTTACAGCATCCAAAAAAAAAAAAAATGGGCAAGAGGTATGAATAGACATTTATCCAAAGAAGACATCCAGATGGCTAACAGACACATCACCCAACATCAGGGAAATGCAAGTTAAAACCACAATGAGATACCACCTCAAATCTATCAGAATGGATAACATTAACAACACAAGAGACAAAATGGTGTTGGTGAGGATGTGGAGAAAGGGGAGTCCTCTCGCACCATTGGTGGGAAACTGGTGCAGCCCCTCCGGGGAACAGTATGGCGGTTCCTTAAAAGACTAAAGAGAACCACACAAGAGACCTAGCAATTACTCTACTAGGTATTTACCCAAAGGATACAAAAATACAGAATTGAAGGGTCACATGTACCCCAGTGTTTATAGCAGCATTATCAACAATAGCCATACTATGGAACCCAAATGTCCATCAACTGATGAATGGATAATAAAAGACGTGGTATACATATACAATGGAATATTACTCAGCCATCAAAAAGAATGAAATCTTGTCATTTGCAACAACATGGATGTAGCTAGAGTATATTGTACCTTGTGAAATAAGTCAGAGAAAGACAAATACCGTATGACTTCACTGATATGTGGAGTTTAAGAAAGAAAACAGATGAACATACGGGATGGGGGAAGAAAGAGAGGGAAACAAACTATAAGAGACTTTTAAAGATAGAGAACTGAGGGTTGCTGGAGGGAGGTGGGTGGGGAGTAGGTTAGATGGGTGATGGGTATTAAGGAGGACACTAGTTATGATGAGGCACTGCGTGTTGTACGTAAGTAGAATCACTGAATTCTACTCCTAGAACTGATATGGCATTGTATGTTAACTAACTAGAAATTTAAATAAAAATTTTTAAAGAAAAAAAAAAAGAAAGAATGGGTGAAATTTCCCCAAGTTTGGCAAAAGATATAAGCCTAAAATTTCCACAAACTGAGTGAATCCATAGGATAAACCCAAAGAAGTCCACGCCAAGTCATATCATAGTCAAACTTCTGGAAACCAGCGACAAAGGAAAAAAAAAAAAGTTGAAAGCTGCAAGAGATAAATGCCACCCAGCCTATTGGGAAAGAACAATTCAAATAACAGTTGCTTTCTTATCAAAAAACTATACAGATCAAAAGGAAGGGGCACAACTTTTTTCAAATGCTAAAGAAAAACAGAAACTGTCAACCCAGATTCTAAGTCAAGTGACATTAGCCTTCAGGAATAGAGGAGAAATAAAGACATGCTCAGACAAAAAGAAACTAAGAGAATTTGTTGTTAGCAGATCTACCCTAAAAGAATTACTAAAGGAAGTTCTTGAAACAGAAATAATTTTTTTTAAATCTTGGAACGTCGAAAAGGAAAAAGAACATTAGAAAGAGCAAATCTATAGGTAAATACACTCATACACTACACACATACACACACACACACACACACACACACACACAGGAATACTATTCAGCATCAAAGAGAACGAAAACTTGCCATTTGGAGCAATGTGGATGGAGCTAGAGTGTATTATATGCTAAGCAAAATAAATCAGGCAGAGAGTGACAAATATCACATCATTTCACTCATATGTGGAATTTAAGAAACACAGATGAACATAGGGGAAGGGAAGGAAAAATGAGATAAAAACAGAGAGGGAGGCAAACCATAGCAGACTCTCTTATATAGAGAGAACAGACTTGGGATTGCCAGAGGAGAGGTGGGTGGAGGGATGGGCTAAATGGGTGATGACCATTAAGGAGGGCCCTTGTTGGGATGAACACTGGGTGTAATATGTAAGTGATGAATCACTGGGTTCTACTCCTGAAACCAATACTACACTGTATATTAACTAACTTGAATTTTAAAATATAAATTAAAAATAAAATTTAACATTTAAAAATAAATTTAAAATGTATAGCACCATCTGATGTGGCTCTCAGTCTATGTAGAAGAAATATTTAAAACAATTATATATGAGATAGGGTAAACAGATTTGATGGAAGGTAAGGTTTCCACATTTCACTCAAATTGGAAATATGTTGACACCAGTAAGCTGTGATAAGCTAGGTATGCATAATGTAATTCCTGTAGTAACCACTAAAAACCTATATAAAAAGATATTCAAAAATGCTGTAGATAATCAAAATAGAGTTCTAGAAAGTTTTCAAGAAACCCACTGGAAGGCAGGAAAAGAAAACAAAGAAACAGAAAACTAATATTAAAATGGCAGACATCGGCTCTAAAATATCAATAATTACACTAAATGTAAATGGTCTAAATAAACCCATTAAAAGACCCCAGTGGATTAAAAGAAACAAACACAACTGCACTAAATGCAAGGGCATTATGCTGAATTGGGGGGCAGAGCATATCTCAAAAGGTCATACACTGGATGTTTCCATTTATGTAACTTCTGTTTCCCAGGGTTTGATAAGGAGTTACCACAAACTGGGTGGTTTAGCACAACAGAAATTCATTGTCTCACAGTTCTTCTGGAGGCTACAGGTGCAAAATCATGGTGTCCACAAGGCCATGCTCCCTCAGAAGGTGCAGAGGAAGGATTCTTCCTGGCCTCTCCCAGTTTCTGATAGCCCGAGACATTTCCTGGCTTGTGACCGCATGACCTCATTGTCCCTGTATCTCTTCATACAGTCTTCCCTCTATGTCTCTATGTCCAAATTTTATAAGGACGTCAGTCATATTGGATTAGGGCCCATCCTCATGACCTCATTTTAACTTGATTACCTCTGTAAAGACCCAATTTCCAAATAAAGTCACATTCTGAGTTGCTGGCAGGTAGGCGTTCAACATATCTTTTTGAGGGAACACAGTTCAACCCCCCAAAATAACATTCTCAAGTGGACAAAATTATAGAGATGGAAAATACATTAGTTGTTAGGGCTGGTAGGATGGAAGAAGTGGTTGTGGCTATAAAGGGTAGCATGAGAGATACTTGTGGTGATGGAGTCGTTCTGTATCTTGAATGTAATGACAGTTACACAAATTTACACAAAAGATAAAATGGCACAGAACCACACACACACTTATCAACATCTTGACTTTGACATTACATTATAGTTATAGAAGATATAACCACTGGAAGAAAAACAACTGGGCAGGGACGCCTGGGTGACTCAGTTAGTTAAGCCTCCGACTTCAGCCCAGGTCATGATTTCACGGTTCATGGGCTCAAGCCCCGCATCAGGCTCTGTGCTGACGGCTCAGAGCCTGGAGCTGCTTCAGATTCTGTGTCTCCCTCTCTCTGCCCCTCCCCCACTCGTTCTTGTTCTCTCTGTCTCTCTCTTTCTCTCTCAAAAATAAATAATAAACATAAAAAAAAAAAAACCTGGGCAAAGGCTACATAGGATCTCTCTGTACTACTTTGCAACTTGCTCCAAATTTTTTTTCAAAATAGAAGTATAATACATGGATATGGATATGCCCAAGCCAAGATACGTAATTAATCAGTTTCAGGAGACAAAAAGGAGATTCTAAGTTAAAAAAAAATACAAAAAGCACATACAAAGGCTCAAATGGAACATAAAAGGTGACAGAATAATGCCTTCAAAACTCTGAAGGAAAATGAGAATTCTATACCTAGCTCAACTATCAATCAAGTGTAAGGGTAGAATAAAGATATTTTCAGAACAAGAGGCCTCAAAACAAGCACCTCTCATTAACCTGTTCTCAAGAACCTACAGGCAGATGTGTTCCAGCAAAACCAGAGAGCGAACAACAGCTGTATTCATGAAGCCTGGCGGGGGGGGGGAGGGTGTCTGAAGGGGGGATCACTACCTGCACTTGAAGGACACCTGTGGTGAGTGGGGAGACACCAGGAATCGGTAGCTCATAATCCCAGGAACCTAATCTCTCCCATATCTTCTGTGAGATCCTAAACGATCATACATGTCACATAAGGCCGTGAGGGGGAATTAGAGACGACACGTAACGGGCAGCGGTTAGGGAAAACAGAGCTGTCAAGTCGTTTTTCTCCGGCTCACTCTTACCTCTAGTTCGTGGATTGGCACGGGTTGTGATGGGAGGCAGGAAACACACTTGATCTTTATGGTCAGAGGGTTTAAATCCTGCTTCTGCTCCTCAGTCATGATAGGAACTTCTGTTTTAAAACTCAAAAAACAATCTAAAACGCTGGCCGACCTCTGACAGCCACAGCTCACGACAGTTTGCCATCCTGGGGAGGACACACAGCGTTAGACTGTTACTCGTGACAACCCCGACAAGTACAGAGGGATCCGGCCACCCGACAAAAGCCAGTGATAAATCACCGCTGAAAGAAGAAAACTTAAAAGAAACACATGGAATTGGCCAACTCCTACTAGCAGCAGAGCACGGGTCAGTTTCTCAAACCGGGGTCCCCTAAGTCTCCTGAGAGAATTTACTCGTCGTGATTGAACCTCGATGATCATCTTGCAACATCGGCATTTCCTGAACCGTCTACAGGGACAAGATGCTTGGCTGGACCCTCAGGCAGTCTCATCTGCCTGGTCTGGAATGCAGCCTCCACACTAGGGCTTTTAAAAACTTCTTAGGCGATAAATGTTAACAAAAGGGGGGGCGGGGGCTCAGTCGGTTAAGCCTGGGACTGCGGCTCAGGTCATGATCACGGTTCCCGGGCTCGAGCCCCACGTCGGGCTCTGTGCTGACAGCTCGGAGCCTGGGACCTGTGTCAGATTCCGTGTCTCCCTCTCTGCCCCTCCCCCGCTCATGCTCTGTCTCAAAAATTAATATTATAAACAAACAAGTAAATAAAAACTTCTCAGCAATTCAGAATTGCTATTGTAATATCGTAGCTACTGGCCACTTGTGGCTGCTAAAGTTCAAACACAAATCCTAACGGTTCCTTTACCACACGAGTCACACTGCGATGCGCAGCCAGCGCCCCGGCCCGACGACGGCACACAGAACGTTCTACGGCTGCGGGGAGCGCTCCTCCGCGGGTACCTTAGAGCAGCGCACACGCGCCGGGGTGCCCGCCGGGGTGCCCGCGGGGGTGTCCGTGGGGTGTCCTCTGGGGTGCCCGCCGGGGTGTCCGCGGGGTGTCCTCCGGGGTGCCCGCCGGGGTGTCCGCCCGGGTGTCCGCCCGGGTTTCCGCGGGGGGGGTCCGCGGGGTGTCTGCCCGGATGTCTGGGGTGCCCGCCGGGGTGTCCGCGGGGGTGTCTGGGGTGTCGGCCGGGGTGCCGCCGGGGTGTCGGCCGGGGTGCCCGCCGGGGTGTCCGCGGGGGTGTCTGGGGTGCCCGCCGGGGTGCCGGCCGGGGTGCCGCTCTGACCGCTGCAGGGGGTGGGACAAGCGCGGGCGCCGAGGGAGACCCTGCCCGGACCCAGCGCGGCGGCGCACCCTCCACCAGGCCTGCGCGACGGCGTCCCTCGGGACGGGTGCCGAGTTCTCACGGGCAGCAGCGAGCGTGTCTTCTCGCCGACGGGCTCCCTGCACGTTAGCAGGTGGAGACGGAGGGGGGGGGGTTAAAATCCTCCAGTTTTACAAGCGGAGAGGCCTGGGCTCCGATCCTGGGTTCGACCCTCAGTTGCCGCGAGACCCGCGGGTCGGAGGCTCTCTGAGGCCTAAGCTCATTGTTTACCTGCTGTATAAGCACGTGCGTGCGTGTGTACGCGGGTGCGTGCATGTGTGCCTGCGTGCGTGTGCTCGTGTGCGTGTGCACATGCCTGCGTGTGCGTGCTCGTGTAGGTGTGCGTGTGCTCGTGTGCGTGTGCACATGCCTGCGTGCGTGTGCGCGTACACGTGTGCCGCGCATGCGCCCCGGGGGGGTAGAGCTGGGGTTGGAGGCTGCGTCCCAGGTGGGATGCGAAGTCCCCGCACGGAGCGACTGCGTGGGGACGTTTACGGCCACGGCCGAGCCCTAGCCCCCCCACCCCCCAAACTGAAAGATACAAGGCGTGACGCACAGTCACGGGTGGTCACGGGCTGAGACGCCCCACGGGACACTCTGGCCGCCGGGCTGGCGGGAAGGCCTAAGAGCGGCCCCGAGGGGACCAGACGCCGGCGAGCCTCCATCGCTGCGGGGCGGGGCGGGGCCGGGCCGGGCCGGGGGGCGTGCGCCCCACTCGCGCCCCGCGCCCGGACGTCAGTCACACGCCGCGTCTGCGGAGCCGAACGACGCGCGCGCGCCTCCCGCGCCTCGCGTTACGTACCGAAGCCTCCCTGACGGGACGTGCGGGGCTGGCCGGGTGACCCGGGGGCCGGGTGTACGAAAACGCAGGTCACCAGGGACGCGCGCCCGCGGGGGGCCGAGAGTCTCGGCATTTCCTCGTGTGCCCGCAGCCCGATTCCGGCTTTCTCGGGGCGACGCGGGTCAAGCGGGCTCGTACGTGCAAAGGGGCTGCGCGTGCCCCCAGCACACGGGGGCTCGCTTCTCGTGGCTTCTACCACAGCACTCGTGTGTGTCCCGGGCGCGCGACGCCCGGCGGGTCGCGCGCAGAGCAGGCACTTCCAGGAGCTCGGGGGGCGGCCCAGCCCCCGACGCGGGCTCAGACCGCGACCTCAGGGCGCCCGAGGCCGAGCCCGCGGCTCCCGGCAGGGCGGACCGCGGAGGCCACACCGCGACCTGCGCCCCGGAGCCGAGAGGGAGGCTCCCGCGCACACGGGCCACTCGGGTCGCCCTCAGACACTTGGGAGGGAAGGGACAGTCCCGGGGGGTCCCCGACTCGAAGCCACAGACACCCAAGGACACAGGCCGTTCTCGTGTGGCACCGGCTGGCACACTGCGGGACGCGCGGCAGCAGCCCTGACACTCCGCTCCGCCTGTGACACCTGTGACAAAACCTGTGACGACGCCTGTGACGACGCCTGTGACGACGCCTCTGACGACACCTGTGACGACACCTGTGACGACGCCTCTGACAACACCTGTGACGTGTGACGACTCCTGTGGCAACACCTTCTCACACCGGGGGGGGGCACACACACGCCCCGGCCGAGGAGACAAACGGAGCGGGAGGGACACCGCGCGGTGCCCCGAACAGGCCCTAACGCCACGCGGGCCCCACGACAGCCCCGCGCGTCCATGGCGTCCGCTCCCGGAGGGAAACTGAGGCCCAGGGACGCGAAGACGCCGGCGGACGCCTCCGGGCCAGTGAGTCCCTGCCCGGCCACGCCTGGCCCTCCGCTGGCTCTGTTCACTCCAACACAGGATCCTTCTAGAATCTTAACGTGTTACTGGCTGACCAGTGGTCGTCACTCAGGGAGGCAAAGCCGACGGCCTGGTTTGAAATCGACGGCGATTGTCAAAAATGACCCGCAGGCTGTGGAATCATCTCGTGCTGTTATTTTATGGCAGAAACAAACACGGGGCGCCTGCGGTGGCCCTTGCTTTCAGCTCAGCTCAGGATCTCCCGGTGGGGAGTTCGAGCCCCCTCCCCCCGTCCTCACCCCGCTTGTGCTCTCTCTCAAAATAAACTTAAAAAAATTTTTTTAATCCGTATAATTGGCCTGCCACGCCAAGGTCATTCTTAGTTTCCGACCATCGGCATGAGGGAGGTTTCCCTTGCCGTCTTCCTTGCACCCAGCCCCCACCCAAACGTCCCCGCACCCCGCGTCCGGCTGTGTGCAAGGTGCCCTGCTGGGGGGGGGGGGGTCACCACCTCCCTCCTGCGGTGAGGACGCGGAGCTGAAGCACCCGGACAGTGTGGGCAGCCCGTCGGCCGGCGGCCGAGCCGGGGTTCCAAGTGTGACGGTCCCCGGCGCTCTCGAACAACCGCCCCATCGCGGATGATGACCGAGACCCCACAGGCTGGGGGAGGGAGGAGGGCAGGCACGGGTCGGTTTCACCTGCTGGGAAGTCACCCAGGCAGGTGGAGACCATCCGAGCTGCTTCCCTCCCAGCAAGGTTACAAAGCAAAGCCAAGCCCGATCCAAAGTCAGCGACCGGGCAGAGCTCACCCACCTCCAGGCACCGGCCTCTCTGGGGACACGGCCCCGCAGAGCCTTCCCCCCAGAGATGTCTGCGCCGAGCGGGAGGGAGCGAGGCCGGGTCCCCCTGGAGCACAGCCGAAGAGGGGGTAAGGGTCTCGGAAAAGTCAGTTCTCTAGAAAAGATTCCAAAGCAGTGGGGAGGCTAAAACAGCCTGAAAAGCCCAACTTTAGGGGAAAGCCGATTTTCAAAAATCCATTTAAAAGTGAAAACTAGGGGCACCTGGGGGGCTCAGTGGGTTAAGCGTCCATCATGGGTTCAGGTCATGATCTCGCGGTCCATGAGTTCGAGCCCCGCGTCGGGCTCTGTGCTGACAGCTCAGAGCCTGGAGCTGCTTCGGATCCTGTGTCCCTGCCACCCGCCCCATTCATTCATTCTCTCTCTCTCTCTCTCTCTCTCTCTCTCTCAAAAATAAACATTAAAAAAAAATTTTAAGTAAAAGTGAAAACTAAAAAATTAAAGGTATTTCCTCAAATTCATATCAGTATCAACCCAAGAGCTTGTGATAATTATGATTTTCCAATCACTCGACACTGACCTTAGGAGGTAAAACCCCAAAGAGCTGCAAAGGTGGGGGTTCCATCCCAAGATGGAAACCTAAATTTCTGCAGATTGGCCAGTAGAGGGCGCACGTTTACCCTGATGGCCAAAAAAATTTACAATGAAATAGGCTCAAAATGACTTTCTCTATAAAGAGAAGGGTTTCCCCCGTATTACTATTTCAAAAACGAAGTTGCATAATTTTACCCAAAATATATTCTGAGCTTTCCATGAACACAACCTATGGATATAACACACCTACTCTTGCTCATTTGTTAAACCGGAGAGAGCCTCGTTTCTAAACTGTGACAGAGCTTACAGAGCAAAAGAATGAAACCCCCCTTCTGCCGCTGAGCTCTGTGACCTCAGGGAGGTTGCTTTGCCTTCTCGGAGTTTGGATTCCTCACAGAATAAAGGGTAGCAACCCCAGCACCACCTTTACAAGTTCACCGGGAGAACCAGAGTTGGCCACGAGCAGTAAATGATGGGCCAGAAATACTGGCTCCCTTTCCTCATTTCCTTTACGAGAGGTTCTTAGAAAACTGTGCAGGAAGCCGATTATAAAAAGCAGCATCCTATTTAGCAAACAAAATCAGGACAGTTATTCTCACAAGTTTCTTTGGACTCTGGAATCAGACCCAAGTTCCAATCCTGGCCTCACCTTTACTTGCTGTGTGATCTCGGACAACCCACTTGACCTCTCTGTGCCTCTTTTTCCTCCTCCGTTTTGCCGAAGTGGCTGTGAGCATGGAGGTGGGTGGCAGAGCAGAGGCTTGGTCAGTGCAAGTTTATGGACATTCTAGCCACGTGTGACCAGACAGCTCACAACTGCTGGGCACAGGCCTACCTACCTGCGAGGAGCGGCATCAGCACAAGCTCCGTAGAGAAGACTCCGTGCTTTTCATTTTCCGCCCCCTTGAAGTCACTGTCTTCCCCTGGAGATTTCTTCTTTCTCCTCTGGGCCTTCTTTCTCGCCTCTGACTCTTTCTGTTTACCTGTAAAATCAAAGGAAGGAAATCAGTGTTAAGAGGAGCTCATAGTGGGGCGCCTGGGTGGCTTAGTCGGTTAAGCGTCCGACTTTCGCTTAGGTCATGATCTCGCGGTTTGTGGGTTCGAGCCCCGCGTCGGGCTCTGTGCTGACAGCTTGGAGCCTGGAGTTTGCTTCAGATTCCGTGTCTCCCTCTGTCTGCCCCTCCCCCGTTCATGCTGTCTCTCAAAAATGAATAAACGTTAAAAAAAGTTTTTTTTTTAAAGCAAGCCTCTTCAACCTGAAAAAGAGAAAACTCAGAGTTGAAGGTGTTCAGGTCTAAAAGTGTTGACTAGTCTTTTAGGACCTTAAAAATAGGAACGAGAGCAACTATGTTTCCGACGCCTGGTGGAGAGCCCACTCAGGCAACCACTCTCCCCCCGCCCCCAGGCTGCAGAGTGTTGAACTTGAACCAGGAAAAGCAGATTAATTGATAGAGAGTTAAGGAAATGACTTGTAGCCATTACGGCTGAACAAACAGGAAGCAGGCCATCCCAGGAGGCAGCAAGTGCACCAGCTCTAGAATATTCTACGTCCTACTAGAAACGCAACTGCTTACTGAAAAACTGGTGAGGAGAACAAGGTCAGGAATGAAGAGGTCCATGTAGGGGCTTCTGACGACCCTTGCGCCTCGTCTGTCACTAAGATTACAAGCTTCTGCATGAGCCGTTCCTGTAAACTGGGATGCTATTTCCCATCCTCCACCATAAGAGGCAAGTAACCTCTCATCTTCCAAGATTACTTCCATAACCCCGAGATTTTCATGCCCCCCGTGTTCACAGCACCAGGAGCCAGGCGCACAGAAGCATCGGTGGAGTAGGAAGGGATGCAGTGTGGACGGGCGGGGCCGTGGCAGGAACGGATGCCAGGGCGCCAGGGACGGCTGGGTGAGGTGACACAGAACGGGGAAGTTGAATGTGTATGTAGTATTCTTTCACTTTTGAGTCACGCGTGGTCAGGTATCAAAGTATCTTTCTGAAGTATTCTGCATTTGAAATATTTCATAATCCCGAGCGCCTGGGGGGCTCAGTCGGTTGAGCATCCTACTCTTGATTTTGGCTGGGGTCGTGATCCCAGGGTTGTGGGGTCGTGATCCCAGGGTTGTGGGGTCGAGCCGCCATGTTGGGCTCCACGCTGGGCATGAAGCCTGCTTAAGATTTTCTCCCCCTCTCCCTCTGCCTCTACTCATGGGCACTCACTCTCTAAAATTTAAAAAAAATTCATAATTCTTCCAAGTCTAGTTATATTATAAAATTCCAAAATCCCATCCTAACTTACTCTGAAATTTCGGCTTTTCTAATATGTTTGTCAAACTGCTAAATGATGATCTCTCCATTAATTCTTTCATCTCCATCCCAGTTGCGGCTCCCAAACCAATGGCTGGTTCTCTTAAAATACTCCATCTAGAAAGTTCACAAAGAGAAAAATGAATGAAGGTGAAAATAGTCAGGGACCAGACCTAAGAATCTATTTGCTGGACCAAATGTGAGCAGATTTTCTTAAATGGCATTGTATTTCTCGATCCAATGCTTCTTAAATTTCGGTGTGCACATGAATCACCTGAAAATGCTGCTAAATAAAAGGCAGGCTAGGGTTCGGTGTGGACCTGGAGTGGACCTGACATTCTACGTTTTTAACAGGTTCCCAATAACGCTGATGCTTTGCTCTACAGACCACACTTGCACTGTCAACTTCTAACTGACCAACTAGAAGTATTAAGGAAAATAATATATTTTTTATAAAAGCAATCAAAACTCTAAAAACATTGAGGAACTCACTTATAGGAATTAACCGACATTTATAGGAAGAAAAAAAAATTTTAATTCTATTAAAAATCATAAAGGAGGGACTGAATTAGGCAAAAAGACATACCATGATCATGGATGGGAGAACTTCACAAATCAATGCATAAATTCAGTGCGAAAAGCCCACAATTTTTAATCAAGATTTTTTTTAAATAACATGGTCTCTTGGGTTCTCTCCATCCTATTCCCCCAAGCCACCAGCGGGGCCTCCACGCTGCCCCACTGCGGTCCCCACAGCATCCAAGGATTCTCCTTCTCCAGATCCCTCTTAGGCTCCAAGAGCACCTGCACTCAGCAGGAAGGGCTGTGGACTTGGCATCCAAGGTATGGGCTGGGGCCCCGGCTTCACGAACACTCCCAAGATTCCAAAGAATTCCAATTTTAAAGCTTTGTGCCAATCACTTTACCACCACTCTGTTGCGTTGTGAAGGCAGTGGAGGTAGTGACACCCCCTTACAGAGTGACCGAGGTGAGGATGAAGTGAGATAAACCAACACACAGAAAAGCACGGTGCATGTTTACACTCCTAAACACAAGCACTCCTTTCCGTAGTCCTTTAGTTTCACCTGGATTGTATGAGCTCCGACCTAACTGAGGTCCTAAGAGTCCACGTAGCTCTTGGTGAGAGTTTATAGGGCCAGTACAAGAGGGGGCTCCATCCCACTCCCCAAAATAACGTGGGTCCATTCTCACCGAACTGTGCCAAGATCATCCGTTCTGAGTGCCTTTTCATATTCCTCGGAACTCTTGGAAAAAGCTTCAGGCTCTGCTGTGTGAGAATCTGATAATATTTATTAGCAAACAGACTTCTTGTTCCACTCTGGCTCATTAAGAAATGGGGGCCCTTTACCCATTTAGCAATGCCAGTCACAGGGCAGAGGGCTTGATGTGTGGTGGGCATTCAGTAAAAAGACTGGTTAATAATAAATGAGTAAATGAGTGAATGTACAGGTAATTCAATTATTTGAGCAAATGGAGGCCAAGACAAGGCTTCCGATTTCTCCTATGACATGCCACAGAGGGCGGGGGGAAAAAGAAAGAAAGAAAGTCTATTATCTATTCCGGTGCCTGCTTCGGCACCGTTTACATCAGAGAATACTGAAAACATTCCCAGAATCCCTAAGTTCCCACCTACAGGGAACGGTTCAGAAAATTCTATTGCCACCAGCAGCTGAAATATTACGTAGTCACCACGAACGGAGTGGATGCAAAGTTCTTAAGTAAATAGGAAAGTGCATGTCATAACACAATAATCTCAGAACACAAAATTAGGAATCCAGACCTCATCTATGTTAAAAAACAATCTTACAACAAAGGTATCTGACGTAACATAACAACCAAAGTATTACACTGCCTGTTCCCGGTGATGAAATTATAGACTGTTTTCTCGGTTTGTTTTGTACTTTTCTATATTTACCGAATTTTCTTTAAAAAAAAAAAAAACCACAATGCACCAGTGTAACCCCTACAGTTAGAAAAGTTGCATAGGGGCATCTGGGTGGCTCAGTCGGTTGGGCATCCAACTTCGGCTCAGGTTATGACCTCGCAGTTTGTGGGTTCGAGCCCCACGTCGGGCTCTGTGCTCACAGCTCAGAGCCTGGAGCCTGTTTCAGATTCTGTGTCTCCCTCTGTCTCACCCTCCCCTGCTCATGCTCTGTCTCTCTCAAAAATAAATAAATAAACTATTTTAAAAAAGAAAAGTTGCATAAGCCACAGAAGAAACAAAAAGAAAACCAAAGGACCGACGACAGAAGGCGACTCCCGCCCCGAGCGCAGTGATTGCTTCCAGGGCGAAGCAGCGCCAGCGGGAGCTGCTGACCCACCCGAGGGAGCCAGGGCACCTGCGCCCCCTTCCCCGCCATCGCCCTTGGCTCTGTCTGTCCACGCAGGTCAGAGCCACTCACCAGGCAAGGGCTTCGTGTGTCTTCCGGCCTTCTCTGCCCTTTCTGGCGCGTGCTCCTGGCTCCACCCCTCTCTGCGGTGTGCGCCCTGCTCACACAACCTTCTCTGACTTAAAACCAGCTGTTTCACTTCCTCTAGAACGCAGGAGAATCACCGAGTCGGTCAATCAGGAATAGCTGCTGGACGCCCTCTGTGCGTTCAGCATGTCCTCGTGGTACCCGTGGAGCAGGGGCGAGAGAGGGGGCCCCTGCCCCCCGGGCCTCCTTCAAACCACCGGGCAGCTCAGACCTCAATGGGCAAAGAAGACCTTGTGTTTCCATTCAGTCATCACGCTTGGCCTGTAGGCGCCTGCACTTGCCTGTCTCACCACGTGAATTTCCGATCCTCTTTGTAACATGAGCCAAACGTCTCTCGCGTTTCCGCACTCCCGAGAAAGGAGTTTCTAGAAGATAGCTCTTCAAGGCCCCCCAGGCGCCCTAGTCCTTAAATTCTTTCCAGACAGCACACATCCTCTTTATTGGGGGCGGGGGTGGGGGGGGCACGTCCATCATCCTGCCTCAGGGGCCCACGGCCAAGGTCAAGATGGAGACGGGTTGCACTGGGCTGTCTGGCTCTGGATCTTTCGCTCTCCTGGCTGTCAGCTGGGAGGTGAGCGAAAGGATGCGTTCTGGTCCTTGATGGACTATTTACCCAAGTAAGAAACTAGAGGGTCCGCAGGAGAATAGTTACACGGTTGTCTGGGGTCGTGGGAACTTTCACTTGGCTCTTCTGTTTCGTGGTGGGGTTTTTTGGTTTTGTTTTTTGGGGTTTTTTTGTGATTTTTTATTTATTTATTTATCTATTTATTTTGGTTTTTGGTCAGTGAACACCCATTACTTGGCCAGAAGACAAGCTGGTGGGGACCGCACAGGTCACCTGCGCGGGGACAGGAAGTCCAGGCATGTGCCAGAGCTGGAGGTGGGCACGACGTACACACAGTGGATCGCCACAAGGCGGCACGTGCCCAGGGCAAAGGAGATGCAGTAAACGAGGGACCCCGGCTCCTGTCCTGTCAACAGTGAGAAGCCACGCGCCTCCAGAGATATTTCAAATAAAACACAAACCCCCCACTTACCAGAAGACCCGACATCATCTGGATACACAGGGGTCTTTAACCGGTAGTACCTGACTTTCCTGGACACCCTGTCCCTGGTATCCCAGACCTTCAAGGTGATTTTGTGACAACTGATTTTCTTTAGTAATTCCTTCGTCACGTTGATGTTAAAAGTTTGGGTCCATGACACCCAGATCTTGTCCCCTTCAAGCCATGGCCTCACCGTCTGTGTAAAAGAACACCAGGAGGTTTGAAGCGTGCGAGACGGGGAGGCTTAGCAGCCCATGATTACCCCACACACACACCCTTGCCAGCCTCGCCCTTCTGGGCACCGAAGGTGCTCCCCTCCACCTGTGTGCCTTCCGTGCCTGGCTCTCCCCCAGCTCCCGCCAAACATCAGCAAATGGGAGTCCCGGCCCGGGCGCCGTCACACCTCTGGGTTCCTTGGCAAAGGCAGAATCAATGCCATTACCTGTAGACAGTGCCCTTTCTGGTGACTTCCAAGCACTGACCCGGAGCCAGGCCACGGGCAGGAGGCTGGCGGTGTGTGCGGGCAGGCCAGACTTTGAAAACACCAAAGAAATTACTCGACAAAGATATCTAAATAGAAAGTCAGGTAACTGGTATTTAATTAGGTCTGTGAGGATTCTCATTCAGTAGATCTGGGGTAGGAACCTAATATCCTGCATTTCTAGCAAGTTCCAGGGGAAGAAAGTCCGCTTTGTGTAGTATTAGACTATATGTGAGCTCTGTGCGCGCGCGCGCACACACGTACACACACACACACACACACACACACACACACACCTTGACTCCTGAATCCAGGAACAATTTGGCCACCGTTGGAAACACCACCATGTCAATTTTTTTAGGCTCCCCATCATCCGGCAGAAGGAAATACTCCGTGTGGTAGTACCGGCGAGACTTTGAGGCAAGTTTCTCCGTTCTAGACTGTTTCCTATGTTTTTCCACGAAAAATGTAGATTTTCCTCTATGACCTAGAAGACATGGGTTTGGGGAGTCCCCTTTGAACCTCGCATGAGAAAACAGATGGAGCTCCCATGAAGGAAGGAAGGAAGGGCCAGGGGGCTGCCTCCCCCCACCCACGCTGCTCGCCCTGCTTGGGGGCTGAGGTACAGGTCCGGGCCCCTGGCCAGCAGGGGAGCAGGCTGTACACCAGACAGCAGGGTGCCAAAATTCAGTCCACGACTCCGAGAGGGAGTGTCTCCTTTTTTTTTTTTTAAACTTTGCCAATATTTTTTACTGTTTTTTTTTTCTTCTGAGAGAGAGAGAGAGAGAGAGAGAGTGCGTGAGCAGGGGAGGGTCAGAGAGAGAGGGAGACACAGAATCTAAAGCAGCTCCAGGCTCTGAGCTGTCAGCACAGAGCCCGACGTGGGGCTCAAACCCACAAACCGTGAGATCGTGACCTGAGCCAAAGTCGGACATTTAACCAGCTGAGCCACTCAGGTGCCTCGGGAGCGTCTCCTTACATTTTTCACCTGAGGCGCCTCGTCTGCCTCACCGTGGTCTTGGCAGTAAAAAAAGTTTGAGTCACCAAGACCGTAGGTCAATTCTAAACATGGTATATACATCTAACCAAATAGCGTCCAAAGTATCTGAGGCAACAATGGACAGAACTACAAAGGAGACGCTGAAATTAATCTTCGGGGGGGGGGGGTAAGTTAGTGCAAGTTGAAAAAAATATATATATCAAAACATGGAGTTCTCTTCTCTGCCCCCAATCTTGGGGTTCAACCATGTGACTGGCTTTGGCCAATAGAATGCTAGCAGGTAGGAGGTGCTCAAAGAACTGAAGAGTTCTTGCATGGCCGGATTTGCACCCTTAGTGCGCCTGTGCCTTCCCGTAGGAGGTGTCTGGCTACCCACCCCCCTTGTGTCCAGGAGGAAGGGGAGAGGCGCACGGAGCAGAGGAGAACCCACCGACCTGCTCACCCAGAACGAGGGACTCGTGTTCAAAGCCCCCGACTGGTGGAGCTTTGTGTGTTTGGGACACACTTTGGGTTTGGGACACAGCCTTGGTGTGGCCCAAACTACCGGGTGTAGCTATGCACTCAGAGATTTGGATTCAATCCATCTTGAGAATCTGTGTTTTCAACAAGAAATTAGGCGATGGGGGAAGCAATGCCTTACCTCTTCCCCACGCATTCGTCTGCAGAAGGCAGAAATCATACCGCCTACTTCTTAGCGTTAGGAGAGGATTAAACACGTGAAGCCCATATAACCGCTTGCGTGCTGGCCCACCGTGGGCACCCTCAAATCGCAGCTTCTTTCCTGACCTCTGCCCCTGGCACCGGCCACCCCACTTGCGGAAGCCAGCGGAGGGAGCTCGGGCGCCCTAACTTCTGGGGGAAGGTCAGTGTCGAGCCCCCGTCTGCAGAGCGCTTACCAGCAGTCACCGGGAAGGCCAGCGAGATGACGAACTTGCAGGGGACAACCTGGGGCACATCCGAGCCGAAGCTGCCGGCGGGTGAGGACAAGGACTCGCTGCCGCAGCGCTGGTCGGAGTCGGACTCCGGGGCCCGGGCCCTCAGGTGCTCCTCCATCTCGCACTCGCTCCCGGACTGGTAAAAGCTGCCCATGGAGGATATGGGCGCCGGGCTCGGCCGGTCCTCCTCTCCCCACTCCCAGGCCTGCGGGGACATCCTGCGCGGCACTCCCGGCTGGAAGACAGCGAGGGCACTGCGGTCACCGCCTCTGTTCCCAGAAGGCAAGCCCTGCCCCTTTCGGGATAACCCACCCCTCCCCTCCTTCCCTCCCCTCCGCCTGCCTGGGGCGAACGGCCAAGGCCTGGCACACCGCCTGGCACGCAGGAGGCGAGCAACCGGGAGCCACAGAGAACGAGGCTGGCACTGATCGTGACAGGCAACGCCAGCTTCTCCAACGGCGACTCTCCTCCCCCAGCCCAGCCCCTCCCCCTTTCACAAGCCGATCATTGACGCTTCTCCAGCATCAGCTCCAGGTGAGTGCAATTCCCTTCTTTAAAAAAAAAAAAATTTAATGTTTTATTTATTCCTGAGAGAGAGCGCGCGTAAGCAGGGGAGGGTCAGAGAGACGGAGAGCGGCCAAGCGGGGGGAGAGCCGGCGTTTCCACCCCGTGGGGCCGGGGGAGCGGCCGGGGGTCGGCCGTGCAAGGTGAGGTCGGAGAGGGCGAGACCCCCCCCCCGGGGGCAGCACACGCAGGGGCCCTGAGTGCCGGGCCTGTTCCGGGATCCGGTCCGGACCGCGGGCGGCGCCCCTGGGAGGGGCAGGTGCACTGGCACCGCTGCGCTCGGAGGTCTGGGCGCGGAGCAGCCGCGGACGGACAGTGCACAGCCGCTGCCCTGCTCACTAACCGGGGGCGTCTTACGACACAGGCTCCCTCTCGGGCTCAGGGCGCGAGCCCAGGGCCGTCGGGGGGCGCTCGGCTGATGCCCGGAAAGGGGTGCCCAGCGGCCGGGCGGGCGGCCGGGCCCGTCGGTACCTGCGACGGGACGCGCGGGGCAGCGGCCGGGGCTCACCGTGGCGTCCGCCGGCTCGCAGCCCCGCTGCTGGGCGGCCGGGCCCGGCGGCTCCGGGGATGCAGTGTGTGCGTCCGGCAGGGAGGCCCCGGCGCGGCCGCGCAAGTCTGTTTACGGTTGCTAGGAGACGGGCGAGGCCGCGGCCCGGGGCGGGGCTCCGCTGGGGGCGGGGCTCCCCTGGGGGCGGGGCTTCCCGGGGCGGGGCTTTCCCCGGGGGCGGGACTTCCGCCCTGAGCCCCTGGCCCCTGACCCGGTGCAGACAAGGTGTCTCCAAATTCAGAAAGTAGCTGGAGCACCTGGGGGGCTCAGTCGGTTGAGCAAATTCGGAAACTAGTTGCCAGCTTGCATTCATTCATCCATCCATCCATCCATCCACCCACTCATTCAATCTTTAAAGAATTCCGGATCTGAACGTGAGCGCCTTTGACACACGCCGCCCTCACCTCAGCACAGGGGACAAGGATGCGGCCCCCCATACGGCCGGCCGCCCCCACCTTCCGTTCTCTGAAAACTCGGATATCCCTACTCTATCCCAAGCCGCCTCCACATAGATTCTCTGCTTCTGTCGCCATCGTCCTTAAAATCCCGTGAGAATTCTGTTCAGTGACCATGAGCCCAGCTCCCAGATGAGGAAACTGAGGCTGGGCCTGGTGACACGCCTGGCACGGAGGAGCAGGCCGCAGAGGTAACTGGCAGGAGGGCGGGGGCGGGCTTCATCGAGGAGGTGACAAAGGCCAGCTGTGGGGTTTGCCAGGGGATGAAAGCCAGAGAAAGAATTCCAGGCAGAGGGAAGAGCCTATGCAAGAGCCCAGGGGGTGAAGCTGCATGGCAAATTCCAGGAAGGGGTGATGAGGCTGGAGTGGTGGGCAGAGGGCGCCTGGGACACGGGTGTGGAGGGCAGGCAGGGCTCACGCCTGGGCAGTGAGGGGCCACCTTAGGTTTTCTGTTAAGGGAGAGTAGCTCCACTCAGGTCACTCAGAGTAGAAAATGGGAGGTGAGACTCCACACGTGTAACTGTTGGGGAAACTGAGGCTCTGCGCTGAGATACGACCTACCCATGGTTAAAGGGCAAAACTGTGGCAGAGCTGGGGCTACCCGGGTCCCCTGCCTCCCACTTGCCGCCTCCCTAGACCACCCCTTCTAGAATACCGCCCCCTGGCTGGGGCCCTCCAACATTCCTCGGGTTGAATCAGTCTAAAAAACCTGAGGCTCAAAAATGACTATGAGAGCCGGTTAAGCGTCCGACTTTCCGACTTTCGCTCAGGTCATGATCTCGCGGTTCGTGGGTTCGAGCCCCGCGTCGGGCTCTGTGCTGACTGCCAGCTCAGAGCCTGTTTCGGATTCTGTGTCTCCCTCTCTCTCTGACCCTCCCCTTCTCATGCTGTCTCTCTCAGAAATAAGTAAAACATTAAAAGAAAAAATTTACCAAAAAAAATTTAATAAAAAAATAACTGGAACAGACCCCGTATTTTTTAAAGTTGCCTCCGCCCAGATTCTATTGCACGGCCAAGGTTTAGAACCACTGCCTTGAGAGAAATGATGTCTAGGTCAAGACCCAGAGCATCGTGGGATAGGGTGAGGGCAAAGGTATGCTAGCTGGTACTCGGGTGTGAGAGGTGGGTCCACAACCTCACCTCAACAAAGATGCCTTCAGGACAGGCAGGAAGAAAAGCAAAGAAAAATGAGTATATGTTCCAGTTGCCTATTGCTGCGTAACAAAGCATCCCAAAACTCAATGGCATCAAACGACAGCCATTTGTTATTCTGCACAGCTCTACAGACCGGTGACTCTTCACCGGTGTGGCCTGGGCTCGCTCACTGGGCTGGATCATCTGTATCATCACGGCTGGGAGGTCTGAGATGGCCTCACTCGTCTGGCAGTCGGTGCCCTTGGCTGGGGTACCTCAATCCATCCCCCTCACCCTCCATGTGGCCCCCCCGCACCCCACCAGGCTGGACTGGCAGCCTCACGTGGCATTCTCAGGGCAGGGTTATCTATGAAAGCAAAGGTGGAAGCTATAAGGCCTGTTGAGACTGAGGCTTGGGAATTAGGACAGTGTCATTTCTGCCACGTCCAGTGACCAGAGCAAGTCACAAGGGCCAGACAAGATTCGAGGGGATGGAGAACAGACCCCACCTCTGCCCAGGAGGAAGGGCACAGCCACACCGCAGACCCGCATCCCATGGATGGGAGCAATTTGAAGGCATTCAATCACTTCTTTCTTCCTCCCAGGATAGGGGAGCCCCAAAGCTTTCCATGGGCATCTAGAAGGCTTTCTGAAGTTTTCCTAAGCCTCTGGCAGAGGATGCCTATTTGGGGAAAAGCTACACCCACCTTCTTCCTGGCATCTCTAACCGCCCCCCTTTTAAACAGCTATATTGAGGTGTATTTTATATCATAAAATGTACCCATTTCAAGTGTAGAGTCCAGTGATTTTCGGTTAACTTTACCAAGCCATGAAATCAACTGTCTCCCTAATAGGCCCTTCATGCACATTTACAATTAACCTCTGTTCCCAGCCCCGGGGCCACCATTAATCTGCCTCTGCCTCTAAAACTCTGCCTTTTCCAGACATTTCAGGTAAGTGGAGTCGTATGTTACGTGGTTTGGCTTTGTGACTGGCCTCTCTCGTTTAGCATGTTTCTGAGGCTCATCCGCACTGTAGCATGAATCAATACTTCATTCCTTTCGGTTGCTAAATAATGTTCCATTGTGGGATAGACCACATTTTGTCTCTCCGTTCATCCCTCAACGACGCTGAGGCCGAACACGCAGACATTTATGAAAAACGCTGCCATGAACATTCCCATGAAAGTCTCTGCCTGATCAGATGTGCTCATTTCCCTTGAGCAGACACTTGGGGTAAAATAGCAGGGTCACGTGGTCGTGGTGTGGGGAACAAAGGCAAAAGGAAAAAAAATAAACTTCCTTACAACTTACAGCCCATTAACACATCCTTGAAACAGGCAGGGTGACCTTCCTCTAGGAGCTCAGCTGCCTGGATGTTAATACTTTGCTGAGAGCAAAAGGCAATCTTTGCTTAACGTCATCCTGACCTCCAAGATCCCGTGAGTCTCCTCTCACATACAAAAATCCCTTTGGAAACTTCCTTTATCCCCCAAGATATATGTTAGCAATCCTCCTCGAAGCATACGGCCCCCTGATACACATCCGAAGGGTCTCATGACTGAGGTTTTACTAGACGGTAGTAAATGACCTTTTCCTAACAGCAGTTGGTCCCTCAAGATCCTGGAAATTCCTCAGCCTTAGGCTGTCCCTAACCCCCTCCCAACTTGCATGTATATAACCAGTCACTCCTCACAGGCCCAGCGCAGCTCTTCGGCCCCGGGGTCCTGTCCCTGAGCTTTAATAAAACCACCTTTTTGCACCCAAGATGCCGCAAGAATTCTTTCTTGACTGATGGCTCCAAACCCCGCCATCTCCACATCAGTAGTTTCACGTTTCTCTCTCTGAGAAATGGCCAAACTGTTTTTCCAAAGTGGCCGCACCAGGTCACATTCCACCATCATAGGAGGAGGGCTCCCGCCCCCCCCCCCGAAACCACTTATTGTCTAACTTACTATAGCCGTTCTCACGAGTATGAAATGGTATCTCTTTGTGGTTTTATTTTGTGCTTCCCCAGTGACTAATGACACTGAGATCTTTTCACGGACTTGGTGGCCATCCATAATCCTCTTTGGTAAAATGTCTCTTCCTGTCTTTCGCCCACTGTTTGACTGGATTATGATTCAGCTGTAGGAGTGTTTTGTGAAGTCGGAATACAAGTCCTTTGTCGGGCCTATGTCTACAAATATTTTCTCCTGCTCTCCTGCCGGTCCTTTTATTTTCTTAATGGCATCTCTACTGTTGCAGTTTGAAGTGCAAAAGTTTTGAATTTTGATGAGGTCCAATTTATCGATTTTTTTTTCTTTTTTGGACCGTGCATTTGTTGCTGTATCTAAGAAATACATCCGTGCTTTGCCTGGCTCAGTCCGATTTTTACTAGAGAGAGGAGTAAAACTTGGTGTCTGAACCCTAAGCAAATCCACTAACCAAGAAGACTCCTGAAAATATAAAAGCTTTGTCACTGAAAATGCTGGCTCCCAGACATTCCCAGACACCCCGGGGGGGGGGGGGGTTACAGAAGACCAAAGCTTTCTGAAAAACGGTTCGACAATATCAGGAGCTTATAAAAGGTGCAAACCCCTTGGCACAGTAGTCAATCACTCAGGATAGAGAGTCAACAGTGTACAGTGTTGTTTTAATGGAGAAAAACCCCAAACCACCTTGATGTGCGTCCGTGCGGGGGGGGGGGGGGGAATGAAACGCCTCACGGCTCCTAAGAGGCAACATGAAACTGTCTCAAGAACGTTTGCAAAGGAATATTAATGGCGGCAAAGCTGTTCAGGAAGTAGAGTTGATGTGCAAGGAAAGATCCGCAGCAAGAGCATTTCCACTGTGTTTGTCTAGGTTGAGTTGAATGAGGTACAATTCACGTCCTCGAAAGCTCGGCCTTTTAAGTGCTTCGACAGATGTACCCAGCCCCTTAGCAACCACCCCAGTGAAGTCCTTTCATGCCCAAATGCAGGGAAAACGCCTGGAAATAAATACATCAGAAGAATCCACGGTCCCCTCTGACGGCGGTGATTTTTGCCGGTCAGCGTTTTTCTGGGCTGTTGAAAGACGCTTTAAACAACATACTCTTTGAAATGGCTCAGACAACCCTGAACTGACTTCAGAAAGTCATCTCTCTGCGCGGGGCCCCCGCTCTCCGCCACCGCCAGCCCAGACAAAAGGGCCCAGGAGCCCTCTGAGTCTGCTCATTTAACAAAAACCTTGTGGGTCCAACCGGGATGGTTTCAGAGGCGCCTGGTAACCCTGGCCCGCAGACGCACAGCCCTGACAGGCCACCACTATGAAACCCTGACTTCCCCGCCCTGCTGAGCGGAGGGGGCCAGGGGCCGCGAGGCTCCGCGGCAAGATATGTAAAGGCTTTCTTTTCAGTGTGGAAGGCCCGGGAACACTGCTGGTCAAAGGATTCCGTCACTAAAAGCCGCCCCCAGCTGCGGCGACAGCCGGGCCAGCTCAGCGCTGACGTCAAATCAAATCCTATTCAATTGCAGAAGCGGGGCTGGGAAGTCCAGAGCCAAGATCCAGAGTCCTGTTCTACGCAGCAAACCCCCAGGCCTGGGGCGGGGAGGTGGGCGGGGGGGGGGGCGGCCCAATACTTCGGAGGTCCAGCTGGACACCCCGCCGACTACAGCATGGGGAGTCTCTGATTCCAACGTGGCTGGATCAGAGGACACTGAATCCCCCCCCACCGGCCAGAGGGGGCCTTCGCACTGGATGCAGGGAGTTCGCGTGTCCCCACAAAGCTGCGTTGTCAGCGCCTGGCCGTGCGAAAGCTCAGGCCTCACCTGAGCCCCCCGATAAGTTACAACGTGGTGTAATCGCTGCCTTAAAAAAAATACAAATAAAAACTATATGTAGCAGGGCACCTGGGTGGCTTAGTCGGTGAAGCGTCCGACTTTCGCTCAGGTCATGATCTCGCGGTTCGTGGGTTCGAGCCCCGCGTCGGGCTCTGTGCTGACTGCCAGCTCTGAGCCTGGAGCCTGTTTCAGTCTGTGACTCCCTCTCTCTCTGACCCTCCCCTGCTCACGCTGTCTCTCTCTCTCCTAGAAATAAATAAAAATATTTAAAAAAAAACTATATGTAGCATTTGTAGGCCAGGAAAATCTGTGGAGGGTGACACACGACGCTACACCCAGGGGCGACCCGCCGAGCTGGGGAAGTTGGAGAGCCTCTCCTCTGAGTGTGGCTGACGCTATTCCGGGTCAGCGGACAAGCGGCTGCTGCCCTCCCGGCTGACTGATGGCCTCGTACAGGCGGACGGACGACACACACAGGCCAGACGGGCTGTCGGGGGTGCAGAGTGCTCTCCAGGGAGCAAAGGCCCTGGGTGGGGGGGGCTGTAAAGAGCTGGGGAAGCAGATGCAGACACCCTGCGGTGAGTCAGGAGAGAGGGGCTCAGGGAGGAAGGCAATGGCAACAGCGGAGGAACGTGGGGCGACTGCGGGGCCGCAGGGCTTCGCCTCTAGTCCTCGTGAGCGGGAAAGACTTAGGGGGTCGTGGGCAGAGGGGGGACCCTCTGGTCATGGAGCACAGGCTGTACGAGTCCAAGGGCCGTTCTTAGGGGAGCCTGTTGCAATAACACAGGGGAGAGACACTGGGGGGGGCGGCGGAGTGGGCTCGGGGAGCACTGGACAGCCCGACTGGCTCCAGCGGGGGCGGGAACACAGAGAGCAGAACAGGGACTTGCTGAGGAAGGCTGGGGGCACGGTGACCTGACCTGGGGGCCGCAGGAGGCCAGACTGAGACCATCCGTTTTACTTACCCACCAAGAAGCGCAGGAAAACATGGCTGATGGGAAGGGAGATGGGGCAGCCATTTTGAAAAAGTTGGGCAGTTCCTCAAAAGTTAAACATAAAACCACCACCCAGCGGGCGCCCGAGGGGCCCATTGGTTGAAGTGGCTGACGCTTGATCTCAGCTCAGGTCATGATCTCACGGTTGTGAGATCGAGCCCCACGTCCGGCTCTGGGCTGACGGCGTGGGGCCTGCTTGGGACTCTCTCTCTACGCCCTTCCCCTGCTCGTGCTCCCTCTCTCTCTCAAAAATAAATAAATGAACATTAAAATAACATACCATCCAAGCAGCCGTGCCACTCCAGATCTACACAAGAGAAATGAAAACATGTCCACACAAAAACACCAACATGTATGTTCACAGTTCCCACAAAGGGTGGGAACAACCCAAATGTCCATCAGCTGATGAACAGATAAGCAAAACCACGATCCACACACGGGGCGGGGCGGGGGGGGGGTAGGACTCAGCCATAAAACGGAAGAAAGTACTGACTCGTGCTACAACGTGGGCAAACCTTGAAAACGTTATTGTTAATATTTTCAGAAAGGAGCCAGTCACATACCGTGTGACTCCACTTACCCACGAAGTCCCACAGACGCAGGAAGGGGTGGTGGCCCAGCGCCCGAGGTTGGGGGTGGAAGGTGCAGACGCCGAGAACGAGCTGAGTGTGCAAAGGCTTTAGGGAAAACGTTCTGCAGTTAGACCGTGACGGTTACGTACTCTACAAACGCACTAGAAGCATTTACTCACACCGTTAAGGGGGTGAATTTTATGGCGTCTAAACGGTGAGTAAGGTGTGTCCTCCCTGAGAGGAAGGCAGAGAACAAAGGGAGGGAAGGAGGGAACAGAGAACGGAAGGGAGGGAGGGACGAGGGAGACACAGAGAGAGGAAGGGGGAGGCGTCGTCTTGTCAAAAAGAGAAATGTCAGAGCAAAGGCGACACATCTGTGACGGCCAGAAATAACCACAAAACCAGTTCTGAGTTGTGCACACGTCTTCACAGAAAATATTTACTACGTTCTGTGCGGTTTTGTTGTGTAAGTCGTGACACCGTACATAATAAGCTGCAACTTACTTAGCTCAGTCCCCCGTTTTTGGGGATTCACTGCGCTGACAGGGTGACGGGGACGGGGCGACGGGGGGGCGGGGACGGGGCGGCGGGGACGGGGCGACGGGGACGGGGTGTCTCCAGCTTCTCAGTGTCACAAACAGTGAGGCAGTGAACACCCTGTGAATACGCAGGACGTATTTTTCTAAAGTCAGAGCCAAGAAGTGGAACTGATGGAAAACTTTTTGTCAAAATAATATTACTTTTATAATTAAAAAAAATTATGTCCAAAATGGGTGGGGAGAAGCATCTAGGTCCTTCCCTTGGGCAAAATCTTCAAGAATGAGTTAATTTACCAAATAAACTGCCGACTCTGGGAGACTGCAGGAGAGGAGACAGAACTTTAGTGCTTTTTCGAAATCCGGGATTTGACGTTTACATTTCTGGGGCTGAACCCAAGCCCGCACCCGCCCACCTCACAGCCAAGGGCAGCTGAACGATCCGCCTGCCGCCCCAACGCGGCTGGAGGGCCAGGCCCCCCGAGGGCGGCTTTGCCCCCACCTGCCGCCGGGGCGCAGGCCCCAGAGCCCACTCGCCGCCCACGGGCGCCAAGGGCGTTGCGTCCGGGCGGGCGGAGGTCTGTCCACGCGGAGGGCTCCGAACGCGGGGCCCCAGGGCGCCGGTCACCCCCCCGACCCCCTCCTCCGCGCCGGTCACCCCCCCAACCCCCTCCTCCGCGCCGGCCACCCCCCCGACCCCCCTCCTCCGCGCCGGCCACCCCCCGACCCCCCTCCGGGCCGGTCACCGCGCGAGCTCCCCGCACCGCCGACGGGGCAGCGACACGACGTGGGGGCCCGAGCGCCCGGGTGTGGACACACGGGGAGGGGGCGTCTGTGCACGTGCGCGGGCAGGGGCGGTCGGAGCCCCTCGAGGGGCTATTCCGGAAAGACCGTTGGAGGAGAAGGGGTGGAGCCACGCGTGGGCTCGGGGACACGGCCCCCGCACAGGCCCGGGCTGCGCCCCCGTCCGGCTCCGGTGCCCACGCCGCCCGCGGTCCCGGCAAACTCGGCGCAGCGCGGGCGCGGCCGAGGGCGGGGGGCTGAACGGCGCCGGGAGTGGGAGGGGCGAGGGGAGGAGGGCGCGGGGTCCCGGGAGGAGCCAGACCGAGAGGGGGGCCGGGCCCCCCACCCCCGCCCCTCCCCGGCAGCCCGGGACACACGCAGGCGGCCGCCGAGCCCCGCCCTCCGAGGAGCCCCGGGGCCGCCCTGGCAGCGGCGCGGCGGCGATGGAGCCGAGCGGCGGGGCCCCGGGGGGCGCGGCGGGCGACCCGTGCCGGCGGCCCGCGCGGCGCGCCCAGTGTGTGCCGAGCGCCCCGGCGCAGCGGCGCGGGCGGGGCCGCGGCGGGCAGGACGAGGCGCTGGTGCCCGCCGCCCGCCCGGCCCCGGCCCTGCAGGAGGTCGCCGGCCGCCTGCCCCGCGCCGACTTCCGCGCCCTCTGCGCGGTCCGGGGGCTGCGCGCCGCGGGGGCCGCGGCCGCGGAGGAGGAGCCGCCCGAGCTCACCTTCCGCCGGCTCCACGCGCGGCTCCGCGGCTACTTCGGCCTCAGCGAGCGCATCGAGACGCGGACCCGCCCGCGCCGCCGCCGCCGCGCGCCCCGCGAGCCCGGCCCGGACGGCGGCCCCGGCGGCCCCGGCGACCCCGGCGACCCCAGCGAGCGCCTGGCGCGGCTGGAGGAGGAGAACGGCAGCCTGCGCGAGCTGGCGGAGGACCTGCGGGCCGCGCTGCAGGTGCGCCGGCGGGGGGCGGGCGCGGGGGCGCGGGGGGCGCGGGGGCGCGGGGCGCGGGGGCGCGGGGCGCGGGGCGCGGGGGGCGCGGGGCGCGGGGGCGGGCGCGGGGGGCGCGGGGGCGAGGGGGCGCGGGGGCAGCGGCTGCACGGAGGCGGGGTCGTGGGGCGGAACCCGGGGGCGAGGCGGCCCCGCCCCCCCCGCGGCTCACCTGCGTCCTGTCCGTGTCCCAGCCGGTCCGCGCAGGTCCCCAGCCCACGCCGCCCCCGCCCTCACGGCAGTCGCGTTCTCCCAGGACACCCGGGCCGGCTCACACAGTCAGTTGTTAAACAGGCATCTGGAGCCCTCTGCGGTGCCAGGCTGTGGGGTCGCGGGGAGAGTTTAGGAGATACGGGGTGAAGAGGGCCCCGTTCCCGCCCCGAAGGAGCTCCCTGCGTAACCGCAGACCAGCAGCTCAGTGGATCATTCAGCGGATACTCAAGGGCCTCCCTCGGGGCCAGGCCTGGTATCCCGGTGCTAAATAGGGGGTGTCCCTGTTCCTCAGGCAGTCACCGGCCACCGAACCCCGGGGGGCAGGCGGCCTCTGGGATACTGAGGAGGAAGCGTGAGATACGGACCCAGCCCAAGCAGCTGGATTCCGTGACAAGCCCTGAGCGCCGTGCCCAGCCTCGTGCCAAGGGCGTAGGGGCGCGAGGAGTTAAAGAGCAGCCTGCGCCCCGGGGCAGCGGAGGGAGGGGGGCGCTGCCCACGGCCCCCTGCCCTGAGCGGCCGAGGGGGGCACGCTGCTGGCAGTGCCCGTAGCTCTGCACCCGGCGGGGGGCCGGCAACCAGGAAGCACCGGAGAAGCAAAGGGCGCAGTGCGGCGGAGGAGGGTCCAGGCTCATTCACCCTCCAGGTATTTGCGGAGCACCCACTGTGTGCCAGGCCTGGTTTAGGCGTCGGAGGCACGGCGGGAAACAAGACAGAAACCCCACCCTCGGAGGCGTCCTGACCAGACCCCCGGGGGTCTGGAAACGCCCTTCTGAGACGCTTCGATTGCTCCCCGAGTCTAGGGGTCGGGATGGAGGAGCCTCGCAAGGCTGAGCGCCGCCAAGGCGGGGACGAGCCGTGACGCGCGGGAATCCGTGGGGGCCGCTCTCGTCTCCGCCGCCCCGGAGGAAGGGTGCTCATCGGAGCCCCCGCCCCTTAGGGCCGAGTTCGGACGCGCGCGGGAGGCCCGGGCAGCGTGCGCAACAGACGTGCGCCGTGCGTGCCCCGCGGCGCTCACCGCCGTGCCCGCGGCCCTGTCCCCGCAGGTCGGCCTCTGGAAGAGCCAGGCGGGCGCGCTGGCGGCGGCCGAGGCCCGCGCGGGGCGGCTGCGCCGGGGTCACGCCGAGGCTCGGCGGCGCGCGGAGGCGGCGCGGGACGCGGTGCTGCGCAGCCTGGGCCGCGTGCGCGAGCTCGAGGCGCTGGCGACGCAGGTGCCCGGCCTGCGGCGCTGCGTGCGGCGGCTGGAGGGCGAGCTGCGGCGCTACAGGTGAGCGCGGGCGCCCCCAGCCCGGGGGCGGCCCCCCCCCCCCC